AACCTGCTTTGGCAGGAGGGTTGGACTAGATGATCTCCTGAGGTCCCTTCCAACCCCTACCATTCTGTGATTCTGTGAAAAGAAGCCTGGAACAGTCTAAAGCAAATATATTTCTCTCTTAATTGTATCTCTATCTTTATTTTTCCTTTAAGGACTGCTTTCCAGTGTCCTACCCGATATAGGTTACTTCCAGTATACCTTGTCACAAATTGTACAGTTTTCTTGCACCTAGGAATCAGAAGCAAGATGTTCTTCAGTACATTCCTAGTGATAGTTAATGTTTGGAGATTGAGGAGACACATGAGAAACAAGTGATGCTCTCTGTTTCTAAACAGTGGACATGATTCTGAATTACTTACTACTGTTTATTTATTCATATTTTAAATTTATAAGTTATGTTTTTCATTAAAGAGTCTATTTTCTTTTTAATTTGAAAATCTACTGAGCTTCTGAACTTCTGCAACGTTCTCATGGGGTTTCTTTACCATGTCAGCTATTGGGTTTTGAGCGTTGTTCTAAACTGTTGACATAGGTAGCAGCCTAACTCAGGTAAAGAAAGTAAAAATTTTTGCATTTCTTAAAAAAGAAAATAAATAATTTTTGAAATATCAAAATTAAATGAATGGTTTGTTACGACTGTAACAGTACAATTAGAAGACTTTTAGCTGTCTTATGAAATTTATCGTTGGAGTGCTAAATTATAGCTGCTTTGTTCAGCTATTTCTTGAACTTCAAGCTGATAATGTTTATCTGGGTACTTGCCAGTTAAAGTTAAAATAACACCTTTCACATCTGAAGACTATGAGCTTTCACTTTGCTGCAATAGTCAGTGCGATACGAAACTTGCTTTTCCATGGAAACTTTCATTCCCTTCTTTCCTACTTTAAGCGTGTACCTCCTCATGCGTGTTTGTGCTTTTACAACGGTTGCTACTGGTTGTGTGTCCACTACATTCTAGGAGGTACTTTTTTATACTGAGCTCATTCTTCAGCATTTGTATTTTGAAGAGAAAGTGCTTGATTAAGCATTTGTGCAGCACTCATTTTCATAAAGGAATTTGTGTAATTGTTAACTACTGTTCAGTTCATACTTTTCATACTTGGTGCTATTTCTGCACCTATCCTGTGGATTTTTTTTATTTTTTACTTACCTTTTTCTCTTTGTGTCCATGGTGTTGTCTTTCTCTCCTTAGGTGCTTTTTTCTGTTTTCATGCATTACCAGCAGAGTGCAGTTATAGTAGTCTTGCTGCCTGAAGTAATACAGATAACAGGCTTATTGTAAATTCCACAGCACTGCCAACAGGCTAAAAGGCGAGAAAGAGCTGGCAAAAAATCTGGAGTTTTTTATTTTCTTGCATCAGTCTTGACTACATGAAAGTAGTTCTGAAATCAGAGAGCTCATGATTCTTTATTGAAATACTGGAAGTCTTCATATTGATGAGACCTCTCTATTTTATTTTTTTTTTCAGTAAAAAACGGCATGATTTCTTTCTTTTAAAATTATTTTATTTTACATAATACCCAGTTATGACAAGGTAGTAAGAGAAATTACAGAAATTACAGGTATGATATCCTGCTTTGAATAATGTAAATGTGGTTTGCATAATGTGGTTGTTCTGTGTTAAGGGTCATTTGCAGAGTGGAAGACCAAGACTGCTAGCTCATGTGTGGGCTCTGCAAATTTGTCAGAACCTAGTTTTAATAACCATTTCCTAGGGTGAACTCTGCCCATTGATGCTCCCTAGCATAAGCAAATGACCTTTCTGTCTTTCAATAAGTTATTCCATTGAAGAGGATCAAATGTAGGTACTGCATTAACTACTCTGTGGAAAACAGTGATTTTTGCCAGTCTACCATGTGAAGTAGCTGCAGCATGATATAGCTTCTGAGTTGGTGGGGATTTTCCTGTTTGTTTGTGGTTTTTTGTTTGGTTTGCTTTGATTTTTTTTTTCTTACAATTTCTACTACTGTACAAAGATAGTGAAACAAAATAACGATGTTAAAGTAGAATGCTTCCTTTTTATGACAGAGAGAAAATTGCCTCTTTCTAGTTTTGCAGAAGTTCAAAGATTTCACTAAGGAATTAAGAGAATTTTTTTTTTTTACTAATGTCTGGTTTTGCTATTCCTTTTCTTAATCAGTTTTGTTTCTGAATTGTGACCTCTGATTAACAATGCATTCTTTCAGTAGAGTTCCACCCTCACTGATAATGTAATGAAATGTCAGTTATTCAGTGTTAAATCCCTTTTTCAATTATTTTGTCTTTCTTTTGCTTACCTAATTTTATACTTTATTTATTTAAAACTGAGGAAAGCTCTATTTTGATTGTAGTGGTGACTGATCATATCTGTTCTAGCTATCTAATATTCTTGGTATTTTTATGACTTATCACCATAGCAAGCCTGTATTTTTAGTCAAAATAATGATTACATCAATGCTGGGATCATACCCAGAAAGCTACTCAGCATGTGAATGCTGCATGAAGTGTTGCTGTAGTTAATTGCACTGAGAGTGCAAAGTGAAGTTCACAAGTGTTTGTGAACACACAAGTTCCAAATACAATGAAAGAAAATAATTGATACCTAGAATGAGGTTCCAAATAGCTGTCCCAGTTAAACAAAGGGAGTGGAGTTAGCAATGATGGGGAGAACATTTTGAATACCATCTTTCTATTTGATTTAGACACCTACCTCCACAGTGCAGTAGCCCCCTGTGTAATAGTGTGGTTTGCAACCAACACCAGTCCTCTAGGAAGAGAAGAAGGCTTGGACTTTTCAAACTGAGTGGGGCAGCTGGCACCATGTAACTTCTCACTGTCTATGAAGTTAGAGATGTACAGAGACAATTAAAATATTAGGCATATGGCGTGTGGTTAAGTTAGCAAAAAAGAAACTAGCTGAAGCATCTGATAAGATGTAAACTTGTTCTTTGGCTTAGCTTTGACAAAACCTGTGCCTTTTATCTGTCTGTATACCTAGCATAAAGACCACAGTTCCTGGGAGATATTTTGTATTGCAGTGGACTCTGAGGCCGTGAATTTGCAATCTTTACACAGTCAACGGTCCCACTGATTTTTACTGATAGTTTAGAGGGATTTGTGCATATATATATATGCAAGATGAAATACAGAGCAAACATTCTAACACTACTGTCAGTAAATTAACTTTAAAGAGGTAGAGCATATCACTGTAGGAGAATATTATTTACTTTTAATATACTCTAAATGAAAATTTTAATGATCTGCAACTTTGAACAAAGTGTGCAATTGAATACTTGCTGTTGTGGAAAAGGTACTGGATAAATATTGACAATAGAATTAGCCTTTTATATTAGTCAAACATTAATGTTAAGTCCCTGTTTGCTCTGGTGAAACTTGATGTAACATAATGCACTTGTTCAGCTGGTGATCAGATTATAATAGCTCAGAGTTATACAAATTGTTTCTGAAGTGTGCACAGCCGAAGAGGTGGAAGGCGTACGATGGAAAAATCACTGAAATGGATACACAGTACACACTCCGTGCCAGAGAACTATTTGAAATCTATCGCAGCATTAGCATGGATGACATCCCAAACGATGAGAGAATAGATAGACTGTTAACACTCAGACGTACAGTGAAGGTATGTTTTATTTTTCTATTTATGTTTAGCTTGAAGATGTACTTCCCAAAGATACAGTGACTTGATTATGTTGACACATAAGCAATGCTTCTGCTGGCAAACAGGTTCCAGGTTGATCATCTGGCAGCAGGGGAAAGCCTAGTGTACCACCTGGCATGAGAGTGTAATTTACATTCCAGATATACTCTAAATTCATATGTCTCTTTGTGATGTGCACATTTTTCTTCAAGTTCTCTTAGAATTTTTGACCCCATAGTTTTAGACTTCTTTGTATATCAATATGCAATAAAATTTTAGTACAAAGTTTAGCTTAATATTTATAACAACTTGATTAAAACCATGACAGAGACATAAGTGGCTATTGCTACTTTTTTTTTTTTTTCCCCTCTCAGTTCTTTTAAATGTCCTTTTAGAACCTTATTTCTGTTGGTTTCGGTTACCAGTTTTATGGCTGTCAGATAATGATTTTTTTTTTTCTTTGCCTCTCACTCCCCACCCCACTGCTCTGCCAGTGTTCACAGTGACTGAAGCTGACTGCATTTCTTTTAGTCATTTGTATTTGTTAGTTTATTTATTTATTTGTTCATGTACAAAAGATAATATGAGTGCCAAGGTACTTTCAGGATGATGCTCTCAATGTCACATTAGAATAGAATGCTACTTCTTGGTCTTATTAAAACAAATTACCTTGCTGTTTGCTTTGGTAGTACTAGAATTTGATCTAAAGCCAGTATAGCATTGGGAGCATTGCTGGTTTATGAACTCCCACCCATCTAAATACCAGTCAATATTGCTGTAGTAGACAAATTCTAGTATTTCTGTAAATGAGCACTCTATTTTAGGTAAGAAAACATCAACCTCATTCACCTCTTATCTCTCTCTGGAAAATCTCCTGCTAACCGTTTGAAATATTGAAATGGCTGATTTCCAAGCATACTCATAAAGTCTCCTGTGCCTTTTGTGTGGTGTTGGGTTTTTTGTTTTTGTTTTGAGTTTTGTGTTTTTTTCCCCAACCATCTACTGTGTATATACATTACAGCTCCTATCACATAGCCAAAGGAAGTTTCTTAGGGAGATATTTCTTGGGGCTTTTGGAGACTGAAAACTTTGCACGTGTTCTGTGCCTCTGCTTAGCATTTTTAAATGCCTCCAGGTTTACAGTTCCTCACAGCTTTGATGTATATACAGGCCCCTTAAAGCAGGATCTGTAGGCATTCTCAGTTTTTCAGTTCTTTAGGCAGTTTTCTTGGAGGTCGTTTTCCTGTGACACTAAGGGGTTCTTATATGAACATGGTCTTATGTGAACATGCAGAGGTATGAATGATTATTAGCAAAGTATCTATAGTTTGCTTTCATATCTGTTAGAATTACTTTGTTTGTTTGCTTCCTTATTGTTGTGGACCTTGTTTTCCTTTTTCTTTGTGTTTTCTTTCAGGAACATGAATGTAAATTAACACAGGAAATAGTGGAATTAATTGACAGGGAAGTTGATCTTATGTTGAGAGAGGTGAAAAAATGCAACTTAGAAGGACTGAGGAAAAGAATTTGTACATTATTTCTTCAGTATGTTAAAACTCCAAAGTTTAACCCTGAAGTTGCTAGGATACTTAAGGTATTATTCCTGTTTTGCAGCCTGACATAGTGGCCATCAAACTAAGGATGGTGCAGAAGGGGAATGGAAAGCAATTAAAGCTTTTCTTTATTTTAGATTTTGCTGTAGAATTGTTGATGGAGTTCCTCAAGAAGTAAAATGCAGCAAGTACACAGACTTCACACAAATAAGTTTATATGGTCATATATGAAACATGGGGCATAGACATGGGTATCAGAAGCTGACAAATGTCTGGTAGCACTGAGAAAGCCCAGGAACACTATATATGAAATAAAAATTCTGAGAATTGTAAATGGTAGATCTTATGGGATGATAACAGTAAACTGTAATAGCAAATGGAGAACCAATACAGAGAGCAATTATCTTTTTTTCCACTGCACAAGAGGCAGTATCCCATGCATCCAGAAAGGTATAACATTGTCAAAGTGACGGCTAATGCCATCATTAGCCTCCTTGCACCTAAGCAGGAGCTGTTACAAGCTTCTGTTGTACAAATGGTTGCTACTTCATGAGAAGCAGATATAGCTATGAACTGGAAGTAGTGGTAGACACCTCTCAAGTTGTGTTTTTCTGATTACAGATTGTAATTAAAAATATGATTCACTATAATATGTTGCTGCTTTAGGCAGAAACATATATTCTGTATCTGTCAGAAGATGATTCCTCTTACAGTGGTTGATGATATCCCAGGAATAGGGAATCTGTCAGTAAATGTTGATGGGATTTGCAACCAGTCAGCCGTTATTTTACACTAGATTTATGAACAGGGTTACTGAGATGGGTCATAGCAGAGACTGGAGATGGGAGATCTTTGGCTTCTGTAGCTTTTGGTTAGCAGTACCTTGAGTTGAAGGTTGAATTGTACCTGTATTTGTGTTTGAATCTTGTAACCTTCTGTAAACCATAAAAAAAGATGGCAGCTGATCAACAGACAGTCAAGGTGACCAAATCCTCAGGGTACCTTCAAAAAAAGGCAGATGACCACAATAGGTAGCTGGACTGTCAGACTACTCAAACTACCCAATTACAGACTTGGGCCCTCTGCACAGACAACATCAATTCTTTCCAGAACCCATGAAGTAATATAAGAGTGAGGAGCTCATTAGCAAGTTTAGTTTATTATCTT